CCCGGAGGTCAGAAGAGGCTGTTGGATCCCCTGCGACTGAAGTTATGGACAGCTGTTAGCTGCCCTGTGAGTGCTGGGATTCGAACCCGAGTCTTCTGCAAGACAGTCAGTGTTCTTAACTGCTGAGCCATCTCTCCAGCCCCTGGGCGTTGTGTTTTTTTTTTTTTTTTAAACTCCACTTGGTACAATCTATTGTAATAGCTGCCGGTGCTCTCTGCCACCGGAATGACCAAGCTTTCATTTTCCTCTCTAAATACGTGCTGTTGTGAAACAGTTTGCTGAAAATGCTGCTCCAGTTCCTCCTCCACCATCCGGGTGGACATCCGGAGCACAGCCCAGTTGGTGGAGCCACAGTGGTTGAGAGGAGGCATGCAGAGGTTGGGCGCTGGAAGGAGTTTCGTTGTCTCCCTTTCTTATGGGGAACAGCCTGGCGACCGGGCAGGGAGGGAGAGGGAGGAGGGGACACCCAACAGCCTGGCTACCCTAGACCCATATTTGTGTGTGTGTGTGTGTGTGTGTGTGTGTGTGTGTGTGTGTCTCACAGTGCATGTGTGGAGGTCAGAGTCTGTTCTCTTCTTCGGCCATGTGGGTCCTGGGAATCAAACTCAAGATACCAACTTGGCAAAGCAAACGCTTCTACCCTCGGGCCATCTCACTAGCCCCCCCACCCTTTTAACTTAAAGAAAATTTCCTTGTTTTGATAATCCTATTATGTTGTGTCAAATGTTATTTGAGAGCTGTGAGAGATGACTGAGTTAAGTTAGAGGTGCCTGCCTCCTGGTCTGACAACCTGAGTTCCAGCCCCAAGACCCACTGGGTGGAAGGAAAGGATTAACTCCAAAAGCCGTCCTCTGCTTTCCACATTGTACACACTGTGCCCCTGAAATGTAAGTAGTGGGCTGGAGAAATGGCTCGGTGGTTAAGAGCACTGACTGCTCTTGAAGAGGACCCAGGTTCGATTCCTAGCACCCACATGGTGGCTATGAACTGCCCTTAACTCCAGTTCCAGGGGAATTCAACACCCTCTTCTGACTCCACAGGCACTGCACGACATGGGTGCACTTATTCATGGGCAGACAATACACTCATACACA